GTTCCATTATTTTCGAAGGGGTGTTCCGTTTTGGGAACAATGGCAATTAGTCGGTTATCCAGGTAAGTATTCACGAAATAGACCATTGGAATCATTCTATACTGATCTGATTCAAATTGATATTATTTCAAAACACACACTTATAAAATAAATTTCAGTCAGTTTATCCAAGTAGGTATCATCAAAGTAGCTGTCTCTTATACACATCTAGATGTGTATAAGAGACAGGAGAATAAGAGCGAGAGTGTCCATGCGGAATTTTTGCGGTCTGATCCATTGGTTCAGCCGCCGCAGATTTAGGATAGGGCGCCATCCGCCTGACGATTTTTCTGTCAGGAAGAGTGTGGAAACGAACCCCTTGTCTTCGGTAGTCGGAAAAACTTCGACCTTTCGGATACCAAATAGGTTGAAAAATCTCTACACTTTTCATATTTTTTACCTGATGCTGAATATGTTAACAATGAATTTTCCCCACAACTATATCTTTACCTTTGTGTAACCAGCTTTAAAGTCTGCTGAATGAAATGATTCGTTATATCTTACTTTTCCAAAGAAGCATTTCTATAATTTCATCTTACCATCTGCCTTGTTTAAGGTTCTGCCAACATCTTATTACTTCCTTGTAAAGCTTTAGGATTTGAACCGGGAGAGAGTTTTCATTAATATTAGCTAGTAAAACATATGCTAGTCCCCCAATTTTATTTATGTAATAATTGGGAATGTCCTTTCAAAGTGAATTATTTTCATTGTCTGACAGAGCGGTGCTAAGTGACATAAGAATAACCTTGGCGCGGAGCCCCATCCAAGGGCCTCCTGGAGGAGCCGGGGAGACCCCCCCCCCCCCTGTAATGAGATTTTTTTTAAATAGGGACCTCTAGGATGGCCGGAAATGGCACTCTCTCTCTTGTTTTTTCAAACTCTTGTTTTGGTCTGATTGCCTGACCAGTGGCCGGTGTAAAGGGGGTTTAACCTGTCCAATAGGAGGGCTTAAGCCCCTGTCCATCTGCTCGCGCCACCACTGGTGTCAACTACATTATTTTTTAGGCTTTATCTATGTTAAAGACATTAATCATATCTACTTGTCCTTTATTTGTTGGTGCAGTCATAAAAATGGGTTTAATTTTTTCAGTCTTTCCACTTCAGACAAATTTGTAAAATATTTTTTGTACCTCAAGTGTAGTGTCATATTCTACACTTTTAATCAATTTTAAATATGTCATTTGGGAATTTCCCTGACTTGTGGCTAAGATTATTTTACCCCTCTATTTCGCTATATGTCCATTTTATCCTTGCGATTTTAGAACCCTTGGTCAAAAATTATATTTATTAAATTTATATATGTCGTAGCCTACAAACACACCTAATATTTTGATGGGTTATCTAGTTGGTTTAATACAACAAACATGTTTGATGTATAAATTATTTAAATAAAGATAATTATTTTGTAATAGATGCATTGATAACATCACCAGCAATGAAAAATTATATTCTTTTATGTTTTTATTATTTCTAAAGGAAACCCAACCCAGTACAATGGCACTGATGGTGAAATGTATGTTGAGTACAACAAAGGTGAGGTCATCAGTTATTTCTGGTGGTATCATCTGATTGGTTTGATTTGGATTGCTGAATTCATTCTAGCTTGCCAGCAGTTTGTGATTGGAGCATGTGTTGCAGATTGGTATTTTACTAGGTAGTGTATCATTGTTTTTTGAAAGTTGGTTTGATGTAGCTGCAGTGCATCTTTATTTCCATCTTAAAATTCCAGTATCTAAGCGTGTTAGAATTTACACATGGAAATGGTAATACAGTACCATAATGACAAAACTAAGTATAAAATATTGAAATTGGAGTGTTGAATTTTGAGTGTGGCGGCGCTCTAACTTCCTGTTTCGACTTTCCTAATTTGGAGGTCAATCCAACTAAATTTAGGTAGTGTGACCAACCCAAAATTTTGAGCCTGGCTCGAAATCTCACCCGCGGTGAGTCAAGCCAGGCTTGAGACTCTAGTGTGACCGTAGCCTGTGTGTGTTAACCCTTTCACTGCGTGTACCCGGTAATACCGGGTATAAACACATAATGTTGAATTGCGCGTACCCGGTACTACCGGGTATGTAGAAAAAATATTGTTAAAAATCAGGAAGAGGTTCTGCGCCCTCTATAGTTTTTTTCTATGAACTATAATTAACCTTTTATCGGAAAAAAGTGTTTTCGAGTGGTTAGGCA